GAGGGTCTCACTAGATTTCTTGAGGGTCTCACTAAATTTATGGGCGGTTTCTAGAAAATTCTTGAAAAACCTTATAAGTGTGGTTTTGAACTCTATATCCAGTAGTTTGCTTTCCTCCATTTCTGTCATTTGTGACCTGTTTCTTTGTCTTCGCATTTTTTAGCTTCTCTGTGTTGATAGAGTGGCTTTCTGTGCTAGGTGTCCTATAGGGCCCAGTGGCTCAGCCTCCCCAATTACCTGAGGTGGACACTCTTGGTGCACCCCTTTGTGGGCTTTGTGCACAGTCTTGTTGTAGTTAAGCTTTGATTGTTGTAGGTATCACTGGGAGGAATTGACCTCCAGGCCAATTGGCTATGAGAATCAGCTGTGTTTGCAGTGGGAGAATTTCTGTGCTGGAGACACCCTTCTGGGGCAAGACTTGCTTCAGTGGGGCTTTGGTGCTCACTGAGTCTGCCCCCTGAGTGTGTCTGTTATGGATCTGAGGGGTTTTAATCTGGATGGTCCCACTCTGACCACTGGGTACACTGGCTCTTGGATCTCTAAGGAGGTGCTAATTTATTCTCTTCCTGAGGCTACCCAGCAGGAGCTATGGAGAGATCTGCAGATTCCTCTTCTTTGTTTGGGATTTGGAGGTGCCCAGATGAGGCCAGTTGTGAAGCAATGCAAGTGGCTGTGGGGCCTTGGGCCTTCTTTTGGAAGTTCTGGGTCTCTCTGACCCAGTTGCAGTTTGTTAGGTAATTTTCAGATTGCAAAGGGCCAGGCCTTTCATATGCAAAAACCTCTGCACACGGCTTGGGTGTGGCAGGGTCTCAGGGAATTAACAGTGTGGAGCAAGCAGCTATGGCTGCTCCTCAGTCTTACCCTAAGAGGCCTCGTGTCTCAGTGTCCCGGTAATCGCTGCAAGCACCTCTGAGAGAAAGCCGCCCTCGAGTTCTGAGTTCTGCCCGCTGCTAGACAGTCCAGTTTCTTTCTGTATGAGTCTGGATCCCCAGAGACTTCTCAGAACTGGAGTTAAGAGCAGTCGGGAGCTTGAGAATCCCTGTTGATTGAAAAAGACAATCGTGTCCTCAGTCGCCAGCCCTTTCCACGTGCGCCTCCGTACCTCTGCACTTTACTTCCGCATTTCCTCTGAGTCTCAGTGTGCTTTTCTCTTTCCTTCTAGTTGTAGAATTTCCACTCAGCCAGCCTTCCTGTGGTTCTGGATGATGTCCGTTTTGTCTTTTAGTTGTATCTTTGAAGTGTTTGTGCGAGGCATCAATTTCCGGTATTTACCTATGCCGCCATCTTGGTTTCTCTCCTAGAGGTCTATTATTAACCCTAATGTAGTAGGGGTCCTTTTAGGCTACAGTTTTAGGCTAAAATTTAAATTAGCTGTCAGTTTTATGAAATATCAAAATTATGACCTACTAGCATTATTGTAGGAAATGTAGAATAGTGTTTTTTTTAATTCTTTTTGTCACCTTTTGTGATCCCTTTGAAAAGCTAATCAAAGCTATACATCCAGAGACTCATTCAGCCTCAAATTTCCCTACTATTTTAGAGTGTTTATCAGTTTCCTTAAAAATTCTTCCTCACACCATTGACTTTGAGCTAAAACTCTTATTATGGGTCATAATCCTACAATTAATGTCTGTACGTTCACCAATACCCCCAAACAATATGCAAGTGGAAAAAATAAATCTTGATGAAACTTGTGAACTTAACCTAGTGGTTGGTTATCTTTAATCTTGTTGCTGCACATTCTTTTCAGACTTTGCTCCATTCTTTTATTAAATTCCCCAGTCTTCCCTCTCTATTGGCTCTCCCCCCCCCCACCCCGTGTTCTCTTGGAGCGCCCCTCCTTTGGTTTCCTCTACTTCCTCATCACCCATTTACTCCTTAGTCTCCAAAACCATGGTGGCCCTCATCCATGTGACCTTCATAAAATAGCTCTTTCAAAAATTCCCAGCACCAATTTCAATCTACACTCTTGACTTCTCTGAATAATTGAAGAGTGATGACTGACCTTGACTTCAGGATTTCCAAGACCCAACACAATTATTTCATTATTCTTGTTCTGTCTCTTTGCTATTCAATCACTTGTTCCTCTTTTGTTTCTAATAGTGCCCAACTCATTGAATTTAACAGCTTAAGTATCTAAAATCTCAAAATCACTGAGTACAGAAAAATATTTGTAATTGCTTACTGAGCATCTGTATCTGGATACCCTGCCAGGTCCTCCTGACATGACCCCTATTTCATATTATCTGTTTTTTCATCCTACTCCTTTCCTACCTGCTAACAAAATCATTATCACCCTAGTCAATAGGCATAAATGCAGCATCTTTGACTTTACATCTCTTTTGTCCCTGAGATCCAATCTGCTGCTTTTACTCTATCTCAACCATCTCTATTTCCAAACTGTTCCCATCACCAAATAAATCAGTGTCCTCACTATATGTCACTTTCTGGCCAATTTCTTGTCTCAGTTTTTCCCCTTTTCATCACTATCTTATTTTTTCCTACAGTGCGTGTCAGATCATATCACTCCCACATTAAAAAAGTTTTCCACAGTCCCCATAAAAAGTATGTTTTCAGTCTTCTGTGTCGAATCTAAGACCCTCTATGTATAACCAAAGTTCTTTCCCACATTATTGCCCATTTTCTTCCTCTAAGGCCTTTAAAAACAACTTACTATTTCTCTGAACACATCCAGGACATTTTA